GGATGTTAATGAATGTCTCTCTCAAATATCTCTTTCTTTGTGAAATGTGTTATTTATGGTCAATATTAGATTCCAACGCCCAGAACCACTTTGGACACCATATGATTTTGACACAAAATATTTCCATATATAGGAGTAAGCGCACTGACTATTGTGATTAGGGTTAGGCTTGATTTCCACTGTCGCGTAATTTTTCCGTGCATATGTGCGTATGATTTACGTTCGCCAATTAAGACCCAGTTAAGTAGAAGCAATGTATAAAAAGTCGCACTTAAGCGAAAAAGTAGAACCTCGATCAACCTAACGTTTAATCTCAACACCTTATTTCTTGCTTCTATTTTATTTACCTGATTAAAATTTACGTGCGTTCACTTGCGTAGCCAAAAACGCGTCAGTGTAAATCAACCTTTCAGTACTTTTAGGTAGTATTTACCATTAGGTTTGCCACTGAAAATATGTAAAACAAAATAAATATTACCGGTAATATTGTTTCAATGGTTGAATCCCCAGTGGTGTAGTGGTACAGGCGATGGATTCTGAGCTAGCACTTCGGGGTTCGAAGCTCGCTTATGCCACTTAATTTTAGTTTGCTTTTTTTTATTTAGTTGGAGTCGAATGCTGTTATTCTACATAAATTTTGGCGACCGCAACCCACCCTACCCTGATTAGGGCTCCAATATTCCATCAACAAGAAGACCAGGACAACGGTTTCACTTTCTTCAATGAAGGGGGGCTTCGCCGAGTCTTCGCTTCGTAAACAGACATGGAGGAACCATAAGGAGGGTAGGGTGGGTTGCCTTCACCAAAACATTTTAACGATGAAAGTCATTGATTTACCTCCGACGTTTGTAATAATCATTCACATCCAGCGTCCCTGTATTTGACGTCCCGCGTCGCCGTCCCACTCGTCCTTGCGTCCCATACTTGACGTCCCCAAGTCCCTCATCTCGCGTTCCCAAGTCCCCACACAAGAGTCCCAGTGTCCTCGTCCCAGTTTTATACACAGCCAATTAGTGAAGAGTATGGCTAATATAGTGTAAATAAGCCTTAATGCCTACTTCTTTATTTGAATTGTCAGAGTTATACTTTTGATAGCATATAGTTCGTTTTTGCACTAACTTGTTTCCCTATAACGACAGTCCGACAAATGAAGTTTAGATTTTACTGGGGAACGTTTCTTCTGTTTAGAGTTACAACCACTAACCAATGCGATTAAGTATCAAAATCAGCTCATCTATTTAAGAGAGGGTTGCTTAGGCGGTAGTCCGGAAAAAATATATCCTCGTCTGCACAACTCTAACAGTTACACAGCCCTAAGTTTCAACTCTAATCGATGTTTTCTCGCTTTTTATAGCCCTTATCATCGGGGCTTCAGTTGGCGGCATCTACCTGTTCTTCTCATTGAAAAGATGGTTCACCAAGAGAGATCTTTACCACAAATTGTCCTTAATCGTTCAAAATTACTCAGATAAGGCGAATGAAAGCCAGAGCATATTAAGTTACCAATAAGATACGCCTGAGTTTTCATATATTTTGTTGACATGACATCTGCCCTTTTTTCTGAGAAAACGGTTCACCAAATTTTAAATCTACTTAAACTAGAATAAGAGCAGAAAATGTTTCACTTCATAGTTGCCCTTATATTAGTGTTAAAATAATTTTAAACTAGCATTTAAAAGCTGATAACTTCCGAAATCAAGCTCGAGAGGGAGGGGGAGATTTTACTCATGTGAAAGCGGTGAACATGCTCGTTGTCTTCGGAGATGTTGGTTTAGCTTGAGACCGCATGGTGTTCAGGACAGGTCGCTAAGATTTTCTTATCGCTTACATGCAGCTGTGTATGAACAAATGAAAAGCGAACTGAGAGAAGAGAGACCTTAAGATCTGACGACGGCGACAACTTTGCACGCGCATTACGCTTTTCGGTACATTACTATGGCGTCCCTACACAACTATGACTTTAAAATGCTTGATTTCACGCTTTATGGAGGACGTAAACAGGCGATGACGAAATTTTCTTGGACTTGAACTCCAGAAGAGTTCGCCTATCTTTGACAAAGTAAGTGAATTGAAGTAAACGCGATGAAGATTGAAAGAACGTGTAAACAACTTTTTTCCCGCAGCCGTCGTCCTCCAATCTCGAGGTCTCTCAAGAAAGAAAGAATAAAAAATCTTTCAGTGACGAAGAGCTTTATCGATCGCGACTAGAAATTAATTCTGGAATAGCTCTTATCAGTGTCTTTCTGTTTAAGAATAGTATCGTTAAACCCAGTCAAACAAATCCTGAGCCACACCCGCATTGCTCTCTGAGTGTTTAATTCTAACTTTCCGATGAGCACTTGCCCTTTCTCCCCATCCCCAGCACATGACGCATGATTATTTTATTTAATTTGGTGAGTAACTGCTATGGTACTACTTGGAGTCCTTGGCCCAGTAGTTCGAGGGCCGCGAATTAGCTCTAACCCAAGGTTAAATTTTAATCAAGGTACCTTTTCTTTTGTTCAAAGCATTTTCTCGGATAATTTTCCCTATTCTATTCAGAACATCCGATCATCAAATTGTAGACTAAAAGACTTAAACCTGAAGTTACTTTTTACGCTTTCATTTCTGGATTCAAATTTTGCCTGACTAACCAAGGGTTATAATTATGCCAACATTGAACAACCTGGCCTTGGCTGATTATGCAAAGACTTGCTTAATTGAGGAATGCTTAGTCAATAACGCATATTTTCGCAATGAAATGATAACATAGTTTTAAAGTTATTGTAGACATGGTCCAAGTCGGTTCTTTGTTCTCTTCGTGTGCTAAGAAAAAGAACAGAGCTTGTTGTGAAAGCTTTGAATATTAGAAAATCATTGCTTAATAGCGAAGAGTAACTTATATCACTTTACACTGAAGGAGATTTTTCCGGGTTCATCAGTGTTTCCGGGTGTAACATATTTAGGGTATTCGAATTCGACAGCGTTTGCACTCATATATAAGTCCGGGAGCATTCATTGGGATAGCAGGTATTCACTTTAGATTATGAATTCAAAATCTCTGGGCATGCGACCAGTGTTAGCGCGAGTAGGAGTGCAGCCTGGAAACGAGATTGCTTCTTTACTGCATCTGCTTTAAAAAAATAAAACGAATACGATACCAAAAATGTCCTGGATTCGCCACGAATGCGAAAAAAATCTCTTCTAGTGTTAATTGACAGCCCAAGAGTCATGTAATGATATATACTCAGTACGTGTACAAGTGTAAAATTAGACGTAATAAAAGTTTAAGATGTTGCTTGTTTGTTGGTGGCGTTTAATCAATCTTTTAGTCTTTTTTTTTTCGGGGGTTGCTGATGAGGGTTTGTAAACCTGGCCCTGTTCTAGGACTAAAAGAAACTTAATATACCTATCATGCATAGGGCCACAAGCTCTGTTTTAGAACACCCTTTTGGACATTTCGCTTGTATTTTATAAAAAATAAAAACACAAAAGTCACAGCAAGGTTATGAGCTGAAAAATAGAAACCCTGACCTGGGGCCTGTTTCTCGAAACTCCCGGCAATTTTTTGTGCCCGAAATCAAAGACTCAAATAAAAATTCTGAAAATAAAAACAAGGTACTAGCTAAAAGAACAGATATGCTCCTGTAAAAAAACAACATTATATTTTGTTTTTTTAAACTGATATTTTTGTCATATTATCTTCACAATTATTGAAACCTCGATCTTAAAAGTTAGTGATATTAGGCTAATCATCTCTTGACTCGTTTGCGAGCGGGCAAAATGAATTTCTTTTTTAAGCTCAAGGCTTTTTGAGCGGGCAAGATGGGCCTCTCTTTCCTTCAATGTTCCCTCAAATAACGTTCTTTTGGTTGGAGGTTAGATAGAGATTGCATCGCAACAGTCAAATATTTCAAATTTAAAATCTTGAGTTTATTTCCCGATTTTCATTTCTTTACATTTAAATGTTTCGATTGCCCATGTCACTTCATCTTTCAGCGGCAAATTGTGTCACACTCCACGGTAGTTTTACTTTCTCTTCCCTGAAAAACATAAAATGCTATTAAGAAAAAACTAGGATCCTTTCCCGGGAAAGCTAAGACTAATAGAGAAGCAGAAGCATAAAAGGGGCTTTTATAACCGGGTTCCTACAGTGGGTGTCAGAGACTTTTCACGCTTGGTTTCCGGTTTCGATCAGCGCCGCTCATGGCTCAAGCTTTCGGCTGAACATCTGTTGGCCTGCGGTCGACACCGAAGCAGTTCCGTTGCACGCGAGGAAAACCTCTGGTAGGCAGGGTGTCTATTATCCAGGGCTTTTTCTACGCCTCCTGAAGTGAGAGGGGACGAAAAGAAAACAAGAGTCCCCGGGAGCAAGATTGGAGCTTTGAGGTTAACTTAGTGATTACTAGCCTGCGAGCAAGCTCTCCTGGGGGTCCCGGGGCAGGCTACTGTATAGTGATATGAGTTATATACCTTCATCCGGTCCGAAAAGGAGACATAAAGTGAGTGGAATTGTATCGCTTTTTCCTTCTGCATTCTTGTTTCGTCTTGATTTCTCTCTGTTTTTTAATTGTCTAGCCCTTCTAAATCTAACATTGCTCATTTACGGTTCTGAAGAATTTTTATGCGTTTCTAATTTATTTTAATACAAACAAAAATTACTTTCTGGCTCTAGTTACCTTCAAAACAAATCAAGATGTCTTATTAAACTATTCTCTCTGCGAATAGTCAGCTTTTTAGTTGTTATGACTCTTCTCTAAATTAACGAATCGATGATAACTGTTCATTTACCTTGAAGTAAAATGGTTTGTTCTAAAAGGGACTTTGCCAGAAAGTTCCTTCTTTAAGGCTGACTTTCTTCTTAACATCATTGACTACCCGAGTCATCATTTTGAGGGTGATGCCTTACTAAACCTTGGAAAAGTCATTTCATCCCCAGCGTCATTTTGCTTCAGTTTAAAGTGCGGTGCTTTTCTTCCCTTTTGTAAAGTTAGCTTTCTTTGAACAGTGTTTGAAAGCGTTTAACTGTTCAGTTTTACAGTCCCTAGACCTCGAGCTACATTTGAAGAGTTCTTACCGTAAAGGGATTGAATACCAGCGATATCATCTGGTTCAAGGCTTAAATTAGGATGGTAAAAATCTGGGTAGTATGGGTACATAATGGCATCTCTGTCACTTGAATGATCCAGACCAAGCACGTGACCAAATTCGTGGGTGGCAGTCCACAGAAGGTTTGTACCCCGGGGACTGTTATGGGTGAATGTTTCGGCTTCATCGAAGTGAGCACGGCCATCTTCAGGCATGAACGCATGCGCAAGCTGTCCACCAGGCCCATCGAATCGATCTGGGCATCTTTTTCCGTCCCCCCCTGGGTGGTTTCTATTACCAAAACTGAGAACAGAAATTTAAAAGTAAAATGTCCACGCTCTCAGTAAAGCCCACGAGTACCAGGCGCTAACTATAAACACGCAAGTACCGGGATATCAAACGTTTCAGTTATCACATGCTGTTTTACTTTGGAATTTTAACAGCTGGACTTCCTATTTGTTAGATCACTTCCCACTACAGTCGAAAACCTTTGTTATGTGACGCCCTATTTAGAAGAGTAACATTCGTTTCTGCCTTTCAACCACTCCGCTTTGAATCCTTGTGAAAACAAATTAAGCTGTTGCGTTCAAGGTAATTCCTTTGCATAATGTTTCCTTTTCCGATCAGGGAACCTTTCCCTTATATTCTTGGCTTAGCATTTTAAAATCAAGACGTCTTCATAGGCTTTGAATTTATGCTTTATAAGATCAATAAAGGTAAATCAACTATTTCATCTTTACTCTGGGCTGACTATGTGTATTTTCGCTTATCCTAAAGGCGTTAGGAAAGCGGTCACGTTTCAGGTCTGGATTCTGCGTTCGCCTGTCTTTCAATCAATGAGGTTTTTAATTAAAGTTGGGTTGTTTTTAGCGGAGCTCTTGAGCGCCCCAAAGTGCGCAGCGGAGCACCATGGGTAAGAAATTTTGGTGGTCACGTGACCGTACGTCCGCCTGTCCATTCGCAACACAGTGAGCTTTTTAGCTTGTGTGGGAGCCTGCATTCTGACCAATCTGTGTTAGAACTTGATGATAGACGTCCATTTTATGGTCAGTTGACACGGACAGCTGCCAGGATATCCGCTGACCAGTATCACATGACCTTATCGTGGTCCCATGTTTCAACTAATCGAGACCACGTCTTTTATTACGGTTTTTCGCTGACCATTTATAAGCTTTTAATTGATTGCAAGCTCAAGTTTCATTTTTTTCAGCAGCAATTGTTCCTTGTCTGTTGAGCCTCTTCCTCAAACGTCATATGAACCTCCTCTAAGTTAAGTATAAACAGGAGCCCATAACCCGGAGCGAGCAACTCCCATACTAGGCCTATGTCACGGCGTTTTTATGGACCAGTCTATTTTCAGACACATTTTAGGGCACTTTTACCCGCGAAAATAGAATCTCCACCATGTCTATAAGTGCATTCGAAGTATAAGATATCAAAAAGAAAAACTAAACGTTATTAAAAGGCAAAAATTTGCGGAGTTTAAAAGATATACAAAATTCGCGCCAAAACCGTTCTGAAAATAAACTGGTCCGTGAAAACGCCGTGACACGAACGCATGGAAGTTGCTCACTCCTAGTCATGGGCTACTGGTATAGATCTGCGGATTTTTCTCAATCATGGTTTCAAGTTTACTGTCTGAAGTAAACCACGACTGTGATGGGTGCTTTGCTTTTACCTCTAGCTAAATCTATATATTAGTCTTATATTCTCTTCAACTTCCAATGAAAACTCAGCGGGTGAAAATGTTAAAGTTTTACCTTATCTTTATGTCAGCAGAGAGTCCATTTCTCGCCTTAGAGAAAGACAAACCCGATACATCGGACCAGAACTTCAGGGCTTTAGCAAATATTTTGTCTTGAGTTGATCTTTTTAAATCAGCACCATATTTCCTCACAAAGTAAGTCAGATGTGTTTTACTCCATTTGGAATTGGCAGCAAAACGTTTGACTTTGCCTCTAAAATCCGGCATTCCACAACGAGGTTTCTTCATTTGTTCGATAGTGGGCTTATCCAGAATACCAGTAACATGCAAACCAGTAAATTGTTGGAACTTTTTTAAAGCTAAATTCATGTAATTTCCTGAACGTGTCGAAGACATGTAATGATACTTTTTCAAGAAATTCTGAGGAGAAAAAAAAATGATTTCATGAGTAATATTGGTGATTCCACGGTAGTTGAAGGACTATTATAATAACACACCAATTTACCCCCCGCGATAGTTTAATTTTTGTAAAATCCAAGTCAAGATGACGTAAACCTTTGCCTTATACATGCTAGAAGGGGTTTTAGGACGGAGTATAAACAGAGGGGTTTACATCTGAAGGGGTTTACAACAAGAATAGAAAAAGCGCTTTTAAACAATCTAGAGCATTGCTGATCAAAACACTTTTTAATGAAGCTTCAAAACGTCACAATATATCGACTTCAGAAGGGGGCGGGTGAGGGTGGGTGGCTTATGTTCGAGTGGGCTTAATAATAAAAATAATAGTAATAGTAATAATAATAATAATAATGAACTTAATTAAAATCTCATGTCTTATAGCTCAGGCACAGTGCCTTACTAATTGGGGAGACTGTATCATATATATAAAACTAGTAATATATTGAAAATTCTAACTATGATTTAAACTCTAAATTCTATAGTTCTGATAAATAACTACCTAATATCTCTGAATCGTAAACTGAGTAACTCTAAAACAAGAGTAAAATGGTGAGGCGAGATAATGCTAACTCTTGCAAAGGTCACAGTCGTTACACGAATCATCTATTAACGAGGCAATGTCCGTCTTTCTTATGCCTTTTTTAAAGTTACTGCGTGTAGGTGCTAAACTTAACTCCCGCTAAATTTTGGACCAAAGAAGTAGCCGAAAATGCCTGAGAGAGTGTTTGCCGTATTTTGTAGTGTTGAAACATTCCTGTCTGACGTCTGCGTTTCTGAGGTTATAGTTTGCGTGACTAGTTAGGTGGCTCGACCCTGTATTTTTGTAGCGACACCTCCCATCTTTGAATCTCTTATACTTAAACAAACTGATCTTTTTTGAAAAACCCAATATAACACATGTATTACACATGATTAAACTTTATTACAGTGGAACCCCGCTATATACGAAGACCCAGTTACAACCAAAAACATTTGAAAGTCTTGCGGAATTACAGTAAAATATGTGGAAACGAACCCCGCTATAAGGAATAGATTTTGATGGTCCCAACGCACAATTTACCCCGCTGTAACGAATATTTTGTCCGGTCGCTTGCAGCAGCAGGTTGCCCTCCGTAATCTATTTGCTATCGTTTTCTCCCGTTCTACAGGATCACCATAAAATCGGAAAGATTTCAGGAGCTTTTTCCTTTTTAATGCGATGGCAGCGAAACTTTGCAAAGAATTAAAGATATTATTCGGCAATAATATGAAATATTCCAATTTCATTGATGGTAAATATTTTTTGCTACTGATCAGCTACCTACCAAAGCTTTCGTGAAATGATATGGCAAGCTTGCAGAAGCGTTGTACAAGGCGACGACGTCGGAACGGAATCTTATTGGCCATTTTGGAGTTGCATAGGGAACTGGGGCGAGTTTCAAATTTAAACTAATCGATAAACTGACACCACCACATAAAAGGTCATGTGGAGATTAGCTCTTGACCAAGTCTGGTGCTCTAAGTTATGACTCTTGAATCATGGTTAAAGATCCATACAAAGGTCTGTAATTTTCGGTGACAGCGTCCCCCAAAACCATATAAACCCTTTAAAATATTTTTCAGTCTTGTTTTTGTTATACTGTAAAATTCTTCATGCATCTACTACTTGGAAGGAACTAATTCGAAAATAACTACGGTTTGCCCATTTTCAGGAATATCATAGAAATCGTGAAAAAAAATAAAGAGTTTATATGGATTTGGGGGACGCTGTCACAAAATTACAGACGTTTGTATGGATCTTTAACCATGTTTCAAGAGTAATATCATAGGAGACGAATTACTCCTTAATTTTGGCGAGAAATTTCAGCGTCAATTGTAATTTCACATGTGAAATTACAAAATACTTTTTACTCCTTTGTAACGGTTTAGCATGTACACTAATTACTTGAACAACCAAACTAAGTCATAAATATTCCAACCAACATGTCCTCGTCCGCTTCAATCTACATATAAGGTTTTTTTTTTTATTTCTTTGCCCTCAAAATATTCGTTTACTCGCTAACACTGTTGCTGTGCCTCAGCATACTGTTATTTGGATCAAGCACATGCTACACTTTAGAGAATAAAAAGGAAAGAAAACTAACTATAAAACTAAGGACCGGTCGGATTATCAAGTAATAAGCTAGCGCAATACTTTGAAGCGTTCAATAGTGTTATGCATTCATGAAGAAGTGCGCCCCTTGGGAACGTTCACACACGAGGGAAGATTTTACCACCACGTTGAATTTACTCTATCTCACGTGGTCTGGCATAGACCAATCATACATTTTTCGCAAGTGAAGCTGGTGGCCAGAACAAGGATTTCGGAGCTGGAGCTCGCAAACGGTTTTTCCCCAGAGATTACAGTTTCGTCCGTGGCGCAAGCTACCGGAAATAGTACCGAAATTATCCAATTATTATAAACTTATTTTACCCTTTGCTCCCATCAGCTGTGTCTGTGGTTGCTCGCGGACTCAACCAGCTCTTGAAACACAGAAGATCCTTCTGTCTTTTTATCACTGGATGTTTTCTAGGATAGAAAGTTCACCTCCTGCATATGCAACAACAGATTAATCCTTAAAGCACTTTCTAAGTTTTCCGAATCCTCTCCCATGACTTTCACGCTTAGAAACTGATTGGAAATAATCACTTGCTCGGCCGTGTTTTCATCACAAACGCATGTTAACTTTGCCAAACCACCCGGGAAAAAGGTAAAATGACGAGAGAAAAACTTAAAAAAATAAGCAGAATAGAAAGCCATGATTTCAGTCTTACATTTAGAAAATAAACTCGATGATAAAACATCCGAAAATCGCACTAAATTCTAGTATGCCAATGGCGCAAAACAAGTGGAGTGCTCACAACATTTGAGACTATTTGTACTCCTTGTGTTTGATATGGCAAATGGAACTTGTTTGGAAAAGCTAACTTAAATGCAATACAGTACTTACAAGTATACCATACAGATGCTAAGCGCTAGCCGTTCTCAAGAATTAGGCAAGAAAAAAAATTGTCTGGCACCCTCAGAGTAACATTTTCATGAACTTGAAGGAGCGCAGTCGAGAGTTTCTATGAAAAGGTCCATTTGTTTGAATTTGAACACAGTCGAACCTCCCGTAAGCGACCACATGCAGTTTCCAAGTTACAATATGTGTAATTCAATGTTTTCAGCATCGAACGAGTGGTCGCTTACAAGAGTTTAAAACCAGCATTGGAGAACTATTAAACCATCAGCCCGAAATGTGGACGCGGTCGCTTATAAAATGAGAGGTTCCATTTACAGGGCTTTCACAAGGGAAATTTTCGTATTTTGGTTAGGTGGTCGCTTAGGGAGGGTGGTCACTTAGATGGGCTTGTAGCACCGGTTCGACTGTAAATACAAAATTGACTCGGTCCTGAGTCGTCTGATGTGCGTACACTATGATCGAATTGCAATGTGCAAGTCAAAACTTTGAGAAGCGTGTCCATCTGTGACCAGTTCTGAACTGCTTTAGGCTCAATTACCAGCCGCTGTTCGGGAAAGGAGCCCGTTCTCCGAGAGGGAAAACGCCGGACCCTAGAGAGCGGTTGAAATTGAGCCTAGAACTACATGTAGCAATGTCTCGCTATAGGGGACTTTTAACAAACTACTTGGCTCGGCTAGCGGGAAAATTAGCGGTGTTTTAACATCAGGCCAATGTTAAATTCTACTAGTTCCAGGGGTCGCGGGGCCGGAGTTTCAATTGACTGATGCATAAGTGTTTGGCAAGATCTTCGTTCTTTATAATCAGACGGAAAGCATAGCTTTGTCTTATAATAAAATGCCTTGAAGAAAAAATTGCGCTAATATCTTTAAACGCAACCATCACTTCAAGCAATATAGACGCCATTTTGGATTTCAGCGTGCAATGATTGATGGAATGACTGGTCCAGAGGGGTCCCGACTCCCTGCTGGAATTCTCGGACTGTTGAATTCAGAGAAGAAATTTTCGAAAATTAAAGTATACCCCGCGAGGTTGCCCTCTTTTTAGAATTTTGGATTTACTCTTCCATTCGCTACTGGAAGTTTCCTGGAATTTAAACCGGGAGTTTTGGGTTTGGTTAAACTGAAAGCGCGCTTTTTTAATTACAAATAAATGAATCATTTCTCCGAATTAGTTTTTTCCGCTCCGATGCATGTTCTCAGAAAAAAACCCAACAATCAAAAGACAATCAGCATTAGATGTTTTGCTTTTACATTGCAGAGTGAACTTCTGAAATAAGGAGAGGACAGGAGGCCTCTTTAATGCATATAACTGCGGCTACAGTAACTAGGAGTTTTTAAAATAATACTTCTGATTAGGAGATCTGATGTTAAAACAATTAATGTCCTCTAGGCCTTTACATTAGCAAGCCTTTAGACCGAATGAGGGAAAATTGTTCAAGAGTCAAGGCGTTAACCGTTTTATCGTGCTCAATCATTTCCGCTTTTCTCTAACCTACAATCATCATCAAAAGTGTTGGGAAGGTTGCCTTTTTTACCTCTTCTTTTCCTTCCTCCCCCCACCCCTGGCCCAATGTTGATCAAAACGTTAATGTTTGTGCACGTAATTGTTCTGTTATATCCCAACATTGAACAGGGGGGACGGGGGATATTTAGCAAAAGAGAAAACTCTTTTTTTTCAGGATTAAAATGGACTACTGTTAAGTTGTACAGCCTTCCCAACTAACTTTTGTCTGTGATTGTAGCTTAGCAGCCGTTGCCCTCCGATCTTCTTAGTCAAGTCGACAGAGAAACGAAAATCCTCACTCCTCCCGACTTAGCTAAATTGAAGAGCCTTTGCTCGTAGGGAAATTATTCTCAGGACCTTTTTGAATGATTAAGCAGTGATATTAAAGGATAGAATAGAAGAGACCCTAACATTGCCCCCCTCCCCTCCCACAAAAAAAAAAATTGAAGTCATCCAGCTTCCTTTCGCTGAAAATGAGTCTTCTCGTATATAGCGACGTGTTTTCTTGGAAAGACATTTATTCGTAGATGTAAG